TGGTCTGTGTTCTGTCGGAGCTGCCTGCGACGCGCTGATGAGATCCAAAAAGATCGAAATCGCGATCCGCGTCTGGCAGTTTCGACAGAATACAGACCACTTCGAATTATTTTGTTCGATTATGGTAACGTGCCTATCACGTTGAGGTGAGCTATGCCGGGATTCGTTTCAACAAGTAGATATCCATATTTTTAAATGGACCTTGTTGGAGCATATGTAATCCACAAATGTAGCATCGTACTACAGATGGCGCTCACCACGCCAATTGTAGTATTTTCTAATTTTTCCAAATTTTTTACTTGTTTCAAATACCTAATACTATTTCGTTTGCTAAAAGGTCAATACAATCAGTGATCGACACAATTTTCATTAAGTCATGACAAGCTTGCATGTATGACAGAATATTAGAAGAAGACAATTATTGTGCCGGTATCGCATTAAATAAGCAAGATCAAGACTTAACACGCAAGTCAAGACGAAGACCAAGATTAAAACAGCAAGGACCAAGATCAAAATCAAAACTAGAAGTATTTGAGCAAGACCAAGATCAAGATGGAATAATCAAGACTGACACCAATACCAAGATTGGGACAGTCTTGATCTTGATCTTGCTTTACACATCATTCGTTTGCTGTCCAACAGTTTTGAATTATCTTATTTTTATTGTGGACTTATCAAAGTTTCTTTTAAGAATCTTAAGGTATAAATTAGTTTATTTTATAAATTTTTAACTTATAGATTAACAGTAGTTTTTATTTACCAGATACTGGTACTATTCGAAAAGTTTTTGTTAAATGTTGCCCATTTGTATTGCTGTCCGTTTTTTAGAGAAATTAGTTTTCTTATGTGTTTTCTTGCTGTTTTCTGTCTTTATTAGTTTCACGCAGTGGAATAATGGAAATGGCTTTGAATCAACTGCAATATCCCAACTATTTTTATGTGAAAATGTGAAATTGTTTCAGAAATATCAAAAATTATTTTTTGAATATAGGTACTTATGACATCACTACCCAAAAATAATAAAATTTGTAAGTCATTAAGTTATCAAAAAAAAAAATTAATTTCCAAATCCGTGCTATTGTAGGTGTGAATGTCGGATAATTAATCTACTACAGATTAAAACTTGTCGATACCAGGTATCATAATCTAAAAAGTGCATAATAATCCAAAAAATCGTAGGATAGNCCGAATCAACAATTTTTACTGTACACTACGGTACGGGCCAACGGTGGGTAGAAAGAACTTTTTCGCTATCTTTAATAGTTCGCCAGATATGTTTTCTTAACATTTAATTCTCGATTTCCAAAATAACACTTGGCTATGACTTCCGACAGTCATAACTCCGAAACGGAACTTCGTAGGTGGACGCCTTTACTCTTGACGCAGAGCACAGCACCTCTAGAATATTTTGATAACACTCCCATAGAGACCGGACCACCCTATGCGGAAATATGGTCATCATGTGACCTCAGGAAAACACTAAAGCGAACAAGTCGCAAGTTCCTTGAGTGCTACAACAAAATATTATTGGGCTCAATGTGATTCTTTAAGGCTCGACAATTTGGTCATTAAGAGAATTTAGGAAAGTACAGACTGGAGCAAAAAAAAAAGGCTCCAAATTGTACTGCCCAAGAAGACAGGAGATTTGATAAAAGGACTGCGGACAAATTTTAGATTCCATACTTTGGCTTGATGACCAACTTTGCAACCAAAATATATCTTGTAATCGTAAGCTTTTCTTTATTCGTTTTCAATATTTTCAGCGTTACTTCACCACATGCATAGCAGAATTATTCCGTTTGTTCTCACAGAATCACAACGACATTTATACGTTATCGTTTATACCGTAACGTATAATTTAGTTCTTTTAATTTACTTAACCCTTTATTTACTTGACACTATCTATTCACCGGCTTTTCAACTACTGTCACTGCTCAATTTTACTATGGATTCTATCTTTCGCAGCTTCCCTTTATATATGCCTATTGAGGTTTCTCCAGTATTTCCCGAAAATCCAGAAAGCTCTCAATTTATTTCGAATGTTCCTATAATGTTACGGCTTAATTGAATATGTGTAAAGCATATCGAGACCTTTTCGATAATCCGGATTACATGGTGAACAGCTTGTGATGCACAACTCACTGTATGCTCGTGTAATTCGGGAAATTCTCCGAACGTCATAACGCATCATGGCTCTGGAGAAAACGTACTTTAAGTTAAGTGGAAAAACATGCTCTTTCTACAGTATAGGACGTCTGCAACATACTTTTTATGTATTATGGTTTGCACTTGTGCTAAAAAGGCTCCAATGTTCCGGATTTTTCACTAATTCGGATCACCTAGGTTTTGATTGAATCAGGTAAGCGAAGCTTTGCTGTACTTGAGTTACAGAAATTTATACTGTAATTATTATCACTACGAGGACCGATAGTTCACATTAAATAATCATTAGATAAATATCAATTGATACACGATTGTTTCAGTCAAAAACATTTTCTATGAATTGGGTAACTTTTTATTCGACATACTTATATTCTTTAAAATAATTAAAAAAAATGAATCAATTACTGTCTCTCTCATTCTCTCACTCAAGTAAATAATTTCTTGGAAGTACTTGAGATAGATATTTATTTATTTAAATTAAGTGTAATGTAAAGATAACTGAACGTTCTCAACAACTGATTTCATTAAGTATCAATAATCAGTTTAGATATTTCTGTATCTACAAAACCAGAATTTTTTGAAATTAATTTCACTTACTAGTGGAAAACGGGATAATGCACTAGTAATAAGTGTGAACGTGTTACTGACAAAAATGTGGGTATTTTTTGGTTCATTGTTTCTATTGACTACAGGGACGTTTTCAGTTGAAGTACGTACTGCTAGATTTTAAGCGCAAAAATGTAAAATCTTAGAAATTTTCTTAGCTTTTTTATTTAAGGTAGTCAGCCAAAATCGTTTAACTAATAACTCAATTTTGCTAATATGTGTATAAAAAACATTTTTTTTTTAATTTTCATTTGGTTTATTGGAATGTTTAAAAAATGTCGATCTACTGCAAGGTCATCTTCAGGAGAAGGATTAATAACTAAGTTGCAAGCATTTTATCCTAATTATTGAAATTTCATATCCCTCATGATTATAAAGATTCGTTGAAGATTATGGGAGAATAGTAGATCTATTGCTCTGTTCACTAACCCAATGAATCAAATCACACCTTTTCTATCTTCTAACAGAAATAAATTACTTTATTTAGGGCGAAATATCATTTATGCGTCATGGAATACCACCCGCTAGGGAATCTGATGAAACTAGAGCATCTTCACCGGAATGGGGTACAATTACTCAAAGAGTTGACCACTTTAATCCAGCAGACAACAGAACATGGGATATGGTAAATGTTACTCTAGATTACTTTTAAATAGTTAAAAGTAATTAATTTCAACTGTTATATAAAATGTCAAAAGCAAACTATGAGTTTTTCAACAATTTCCATGTACCTGATTGAAAGGACAATAACAGAATTGATTTTCTTTCTCAAAATCTTACAACTGAATAGGTTTTGGAACAAATATTGCTTGTAAAATGTGAAATAGTAGAAACTATCTTTACGCATATATTAATATAAAACTTTGTTCAGAGGTATATACAAAATAACGAGTTTTATGAGGAAGGTGGGCCCATGTTCNCTCGATACTAATTACAAAGTATCAAAGCCAAGCTGGCTTTTCTGACCAATAGGAACAAAAAAATTTTGGGATTTTTCCATGACGAATTAAAAAATCATAAGTTGTGAATTTATATCTTTGTTTATTAGGCGACGTTTCGACGCTCTCTGCGAGGTCATTTTCAAGCCTGTATTGAGTAAAACAAGAGAAAAAAGAACATTGTACAAAAAGAGTTCGTAAAAGTTACAATAGAATCAAATTCATAAATATCATTGATAATTACATAGTTAGTGATTCTAAGATTGTCTTCTCGACAAAGAATTGCTGAGTTGGTATGTGATTGTTATTTTGAATTTGATTGTATTGTAATTTTTACGAACTCTTTTTGTACAATGTTCTTTTTTCTCTTGTTTTACTCAATACAGGCTTGAAAATAACCTCGCAGAGAGCGTCGAAACGACGCCTAATAAACAAAGATATAAATTCACAACTTATGATTTTTTAATTCGTCATGGAAAATCCCAAAGTTTTTTCGTTCCTATTGGTCAGAAAAGCCAGCTTGGCTTTGATACTTTGTAGTAAGTTATATAAAATGTCAAAAGCAAACTTTGAGTTTTTCAACAATTTCCATGTACCTGATTGAAAGGACAATAACAGAATTGATTTTCTTTCTCAAAATCTTACAACTGAATAGGTTTTGGAACAAATATTGCTTGTAAAATGTGAAATAGTAGAAACTATCTTTACGCATATATTAATATAAAACTTTGTTCAGAGGTATATACAAAATAACGAGTTTTATGAGGAAGGTGGGCCCATGTTCGTATTTATAGGAGGTGAATGGGGTATTTCAACAGGCTGGGCTACGTCGGGATTTTTTCTTGACATAGCTCGTTCACATAATGGCGCTTTCTTCTACACAGAACACAGATTTTATGGTGACAGTTATCCAATATAGTAAGTAATATTTTCTTTGTTTAATGTATTCTATCGCAAGGGGACTGGTTTTAAATTCACATTAGAAAATTATATCACTTGAAATTATTACCTTTTTCGTTATAATTAATTATTCATTTATGTTATATGGTAGCTTTGATGGAGGACATCTATAAACCAAAGCTAATAGTAGTTAGGGCTTGAGATTACCTTTAAATAATCTATAAACCACTAGAAATAGTCAGTGTAAACTAGGGGTCGAATAAGACTTTTTTTTAAGAGAGCAGTTATTGCAGGTATTGAATACCTAAAAATTTAAAATGCAGATATTAAATGTGTTTTTTAACCTCATAAAATAACAAATGAGTTTTTAGGATTAATAATTATATTAATAAGGCGAAAACACAAAAACAGGACATTTGAAGAAGTGCAAAAAAGATATAAGGCTATAAAATGGGAAATAATTAGAAAGTGTAGGGCAGCTAAGAAACAGTGGACGGATATGCGGTGTAAAGAAGTAGAAAATAGTTTGAAGTAGGTAAAATCGATAAGGCTTATAATATAATTAAAAGGAATTGTAAAGATGGAGTACAGGAGTAATAATATAAAAAATGAGGAAACCTAGACACAGACATCAGAGAACATGTCTATTGTTATTGTACTATTAAAATACTGTATACTCTTTTATGAAACCGGCAAAATAAATAAAGGGAATTTTCTTGAAAAATATACGGGGAGTTAAAATGAGTAATTGAGACATGACCATATCATGCAATTTAATGAAAATGTGTGGGCAGTAGTTCATCATCATAAATTCATCAATGCTAAGACTGGTTGGATACGCACCTCCACTCTTTCCTATCCTAAGTTAATCTTCGCATTTCCCCAAAACCAGAACAACCCACATTCTTAACAATTTGCAAACAGTAATCTAATTTAGGTCTACTTCTACCCCTCCTAACTCCCGTTTCTGCTTCTAATATGTTTCTGACTATACCTTCATACCTAAGAAGGTGTCCTACCAACCTATCTCGCTTATTTCTTATTGACTTCCATAGAGTCCTTTGTTGTCCTATTCTTTCAAATAAGGGTCGAAGTATAGATGGGATACATGGGGAAATTATAAAACATGCAAGACAAGAGGTTAGAGATCGCATGATTAAGATTAAGATTTGTAGATTTAGAAAAGGCTTTCGACAATGTTAAATGGGACAACATGTTAATACACTTAAAAATGAAGGAATGGATTATAGAGATAGGAGACTGCTACTTAGTTTGTATAAAGAGCAACAGACAGTTATAGAGATGGGGCTGCAACATAAGAGAAGTAAATATTAGGAAGGGACAGGGATGCACCTGTTACCGCTACTTTTTAATCTATACATTGAAGACGCGATCAACATCATTAAAGGCAGTACAACTGTAGGAATACCTATACAGGGACGAAAGATTAGTATGCTTAGATTTGCAGATGATATAGCAGTATAAGCATCTAGCAAGGAGGTAGGAGAGATAGCTTAAAAAAAATGGGAGCGATATTGACGAAACAGTATTGTATGAAAATAAGTAAAACAAAAATACTGGTATGTAGGGGAAGAAAAAGTAGGGAAAGAGCGAATATAAACATAGAAGATGAAAAATTAGACAAAGAGGCTGATTTTAGGTATCTCGGATATCAGATAAGTCAGAACGGAAGGAGTAGTATCGATATAAACCAGAGGACAGCGCAAAGTCGAGTCGCCTTCAATAAAAAAAGTAACTTCTATGTTAGTGAACGGTTAATTCAGAAATTCGAAAAAAACTGTTAAAGGTGTATGTTTGGAGCACGGCGTTGTATAGGTGTGAAACATGGACAGTGGGCGCGGCGGGAAAGAAAAGGTTAGAAGCGTTCGAAATGAAGTGTTACAGGCGAATGAATAGGATACCGTAGATAGAGAAGGTTAAAAAAGAAGAGGTATTAGAAAAAGTAGTAGAGCAGAGAACTCTATGGAAGTCAATAAGTATAAGGCGAGACAGATTGATTGGGCACCCTTTCAGATATGAAGGTCTAGTCAGAGACATATTAGAGGCAGAAACAGGAGTTAGGAGGGGTAGAGGTTGTCTTATATTAGATTACTATCCGCAAATATTTAAGGATGTAGGTTGTTTTAGTTTTAGGGAAATGCGAAGATTAGCTCAGAATAGGAAAGAGTGAAGGTGCGTGTCCAACCAGTCTTAAGACTGATGACCTTATGATGATGATAAAATATTTATGAAAAAGGTCTTTTAGTATGGTAATATAATGTTTTTGGTATTTATTTTATTCTGGTCTTGTTTTTTCTATTTCAACATTACTGCTGAGCCAATCCTCTTATGAAGGTTTATTATTAATTAAGTAGGAAAAGCAATAAAAAACAAACACGTGGACAATTACATGCTCATTAAATGCTACTTAAATGTCCTAATGCGAAATTAAATTTTTCGGGATTTCTTTGCTCTATTGCTCAGGATGCTTATAAGATTATGCCAGTATAGCATGAGCGAATAAATAATTTAAAGAATGAAAATAGCTTTTTTAATCGCACAATAGTTGAAGGTTCATTAAATGCTTTAAAACAGACAAGTGGATTTTTCCAGTTAATGCGACTTTTCGACTTCAATAAACGTTGACATACAAAGGGGACAAAAACATAACATAATTGGCAAAGCTTGAACGAGCTTTGATCTTTAAATAACTACTTTTATGCTCTAACAGGCATTTTGGAAATTTCTGTCGGTTTATCTAATATAAACGTTAAGGCATGACCCACTGAGTAACCAAATTAAGACATATAGGAAACAACGAAAATTAGCCTTGAAGTTATACTTTCTTGACCAATACGACAAATCGTTTATAATTTGTTTATTTTATAGCAACTGGGAGGTCGACGGTTTCAGATACTTGTCTGCTGATCAAGCATTAGCAGACCTTGTGTATTTTATTGAATACCAAAAGCAAAACACACCAGGACTTCGAAACAGTACGGTAAGTGAAGAGCAAAAGTATCAGTCCAACTACATACCTACTGTAGAATAAAACAAAAAAATTAATAAAGTTAATGAAACTGAAAAGTAAGAAATAATTTAGATGCTGTCCATTTAATCTTTTGATATTTTAGGTACTCCTATTTATTTAGTTCGCAATATGCCGATCATCGCGCCACCCCTGGGTCTCTTAGCGTTGTGTCTGTTTCTAATATGTCTCTGATTAGACTATCATGTATGAAAAGGTGTCATACCAACCCATCGTCGTCAGTCGTAAGACTGGTTAGACACGCACCTCCACTCTGCAATTCTGAGTTAATCTTCGCAATTTCCTTAAACTAGAACAATCCATATCCTTTACTATTTGCGAACACTACTTTAATCTAGGTTTACCTCTACCCCTCCTAACTTCCGTTTCTGCGTCTAATATGTCTCCCACTAGACCCTCATGCCTGAGAAGGTGTCCTACTAACCTATCTCCCATATTCCTTATTGACTTCCATAGAGTCCTCTGTTCTCCCATTCTTTCTAATATCCCTTCATTTCTAACCTTCTCTATCTACGATATCCTCATCATTCGCCTGTAACACTACATTTCGAACGCTTCCAACGCTTCCTTTTCCCCCGCGGAAACTAAGTATCACTCTTATATTTTTGCAACTTATCCCTACATTTTTAAGTATATTTAACATCTTGTCCCATTTAACATTATCAATAACCCAGAATTTTTTCATCTTTCATTTGAGATTCCATTCATGCGATAGCAAAAAAAAATTTAGTTCGTAAAAGACTAGTCCCGGACTATACTTATCGAATTGATTTGCATACACACAAGCAATGTAAAAACATACACACACATTATTCCCATACATATATACATATACACTGTTGAAATCATAACTCTTCTTTTGGACTACTGTAGTCGGGTGAAATGAGCTTACTTATATAAACAGCCAATTCAGAAAAATCATCATTGCATTACATTCAACTGCTGTTTATGATCAGTATAAAGTAAAAGAAAATAATATTTTTATTTATCGTTAGCTTTGTCCAATATTTAGGTAGTAGTCTCTTTCTGGTCATGAGATTGGGGCGCTTTAGTTTTTGATTGTTATGTAAAGTAATTTTTAATATGTCTGTTTCCCACCGCAACATATTATTGCTCGAATAGCGATGTAGTTTAAGAAGTGCGGAAAAAACAAAAATGAAATGAGTAACATTATGTAAAATATCAAAAATGTACAGATAAAGACGTCTATTTTGGATCAAAAGATANCCAAAGTTTTTTCGTTCCTATTGGTCAGAAAAGCCAGCTTGGCTTTGATACTTTGTAGTAAGTTATATAAAATGTCAAAAGCAAACTTTGAGTTTTTCAACAATTTCCATGTACCTGATTGAAAGGACAATAACAGAATTGATTTTCTTTCTCAAAATCTTACAACTGAATAGGTTTTGGAACAAATATTGCTTGTAAAATGTGAAATAGTAGAAACTATCTTTACGCATATATTAATATAAAACTTTGTTCAGAGGTATATACAAAATAACGAGTTTTATGAGGAAGGTGGGCCCATGTTCGTATTTATAGGAGGTGAATGGGGTATTTCAACAGGCTGGGCTACGTCGGGATTTTTTCTTGACATAGCTCGTTCACATAATGGCGCTTTCTTCTACACAGAACACAGATTTTATGGTGACAGTTATCCAATATAGTAAGTAATATTTTCTTTGTTTAATGTATTCTATCGCAAGGGGACTGGTTTTAAATTCACATTAGAAAATTATATCACTTGAAATTATTACCTTTTTCGTTATAATTAATTATTCATTTATGTTATATGGTAGCTTTGATGGAGGACATCTATAAACCAAAGCTAATAGTAGTTAGGGCTTGAGATTACCTTTAAATAATCTATAAACCACTAGAAATAGTCAGTGTAAACTAGGGGTCGAATAAGACTTTTTTTTAAGAGAGCAGTTATTGCAGGTATTGAATACCTAAAAATTTAAAATGCAGATATTAAATGTGTTTTTTAACCTCATAAAATAACAAATGAGTTTTTAGGATTAATAATTATATTAATAAGGCGAAAGTGCAAAAAAGATATAAGGCTATAAAATGGGAAATAATTAGAAAGTGTAGGGCAGCTAAGAAACAGTGGACGGATATGCGGTGTAAAGAAGTANCCTATTCTTTCAAATAAGGGTCGAAGTATAGATGGGATACATGGGGAAATTATAAAACATGCAAGACAAGAGGTTAGAGATCGCATGATTAAGATTAAGATTTGTAGATTTAGAAAAGGCTTTCGACAATGTTAAATGGGACAACATGTTAATACACTTAAAAATGAAGGAATGGATTATAGAGATAGGAGACTGCTACTTAGTTTGTATAAAGAGCAACAGACAGTTATAGAGATGGGGCTGCAACATAAGAGAAGTAAATATTAGGAAGGGACAGGGATGCACCTGTTACCGCTACTTTTTAATCTATACATTGAAGACGCGATCAACATCATTAAAGGCAGTACAACTGTAGGAATACCTATACAGGGACGAAAGATTAGTATGCTTAGATTTGCAGATGATATAGCAGTATAAGCATCTAGCAAGGAGGTAGGAGAGATAGCTTAAAAAAAATGGGAGCGATATTGACGAAACAGTATTGTATGAAAATAAGTAAAACAAAAATACTGGTATGTAGGGGAAGAAAAAGTAGGGAAAGAGCGAATATAAACATAGAAGATGAAAAATTAGACAAAGAGGCTGATTTTAGGTATCTCGGATATCAGATAAGTCAGAACGGAAGGAGTAGTATCGATATAAACCAGAGGACAGCGCAAAGTCGAGTCGCCTTCAATAAAAAAAGTAACTTCTATGTTAGTGAACGGTTAATTCAGAAATTCGAAAAAAACTGTTAAAGGTGTATGTTTGGAGCACGGCGTTGTATAGGTGTGAAACATGGACAGTGGGCGCGGCGGGAAAGAAAAGGTTAGAAGCGTTCGAAATGAAGTGTTACAGGCGAATGAATAGGATACCGTAGATAGAGAAGGTTAAAAAAGAAGAGGTATTAGAAAAAGTAGTAGAGCAGAGAACTCTATGGAAGTCAATAAGTATAAGGCGAGACAGATTGATTGGGCACCCTTTCAGATATGAAGGTCTAGTCAGAGACATATTAGAGGCAGAAACAGGAGTTAGGAGGGGTAGAGGTTGTCTTATATTAGATTACTATCCGCAAATATTTAAGGATGTAGGTTGTTTTAGTTTTAGGGAAATGCGAAGATTAGCTCAGAATAGGAAAGAGTGAAGGTGCGTGTCCAACCAGTCTTAAGACTGATGACCTTATGATGATGATAAAATATTTATGAAAAAGGTCTTTTAGTATGGTAATATAATGTTTTTGGTATTTATTTTATTCTGGTCTTGTTTTTTCTATTTCAACATTACTGCTGAGCCAATCCTCTTATGAAGGTTTATTATTAATTAAGTAGGAAAAGCAATAAAAAACAAACACGTGGACAATTACATGCTCATTAAATGCTACTTAAATGTCCTAATGCGAAATTAAATTTTTCGGGATTTCTTTGCTCTATTGCTCAGGATGCTTATAAGATTATGCCAGTATAGCATGAGCGAATAAATAATTTAAAGAATGAAAATAGCTTTTTTAATCGCACAATAGTTGAAGGTTCATTAAATGCTTTAAAACAGACAAGTGGATTTTTCCAGTTAATGCGACTTTTCGACTTCAATAAACGTTGACATACAAAGGGGACAAAAACGTAACATAATTGGCAAAGCTTGAACGAGCTTTGATCTTTAAATAACTACTTTTATGCTCTAACAGGCATTTTGGAAATTTCTGTCGGTTTATCTAATATAAACGTTAAGGCATGACCCACTGAGTAACCAAATTAAGACATATAGGAAACAACGAAAATTAGCCTTGAAGTTATACTTTCTTGACCAATACGACAAATCGTTTATAATTTGTTTATTTTATAGCAACTGGGAGGTCGACGGTTTCAGATACTTGTCTGCTGATCAAGCATTAGCAGACCTTGTGTATTTTATTGAATACCAAAAGCAAAACACACCAGGACTTCGAAACAGTACGGTAAGTGAAGAGCAAAAGTATCAGTCCAACTACATACCTACTGTAGAATAAAACAAAAAAATTAATAAAGTTAATGAAACTGAAAAGTAAGAAATAATTTAGATGCTGTCCATTTAATCTTTTGATATTTTAGGTACTCCTATTTATTTAGTTCGCAATATGCCGATCATCGCGCCACCCCTGGGTCTCTTAGCGTTGTGTCTGTTTCTAATATGTCTCTGATTAGACTATCATGTATGAAAAGGTGTCATACCAACCCATCGTCGTCAGTCGTAAGACTGGTTAGACACGCACCTCCACTCTGCAATTCTGAGTTAATCTTCGCAATTTCCTTAAACTAGAACAATCCATATCCTTTACTATTTGCGAACACTACTTTAATCTAGGTTTACCTCTACCCCTCCTAACTTCCGTTTCTGCGTCTAATATGTCTCCCACTAGACCCTCATGCCTGAGAAGGTGTCCTACTAACCTATCTCCCATATTCCTTATTGACTTCCATAGAGTCCTCTGTTCTCCCATTCTTTCTAATATCCCTTCATTTCTAACCTTCTCTATCTACGATATCCTCATCATTCGCCTGTAACACTACATTTCGAACGCTTCCAACGCTTCCTTTTCCCCCGCGGAAACTAAGTATCACTCTTATATTTTTGCAACTTATCCCTACATTTTTAAGTATATTTAACATCTTGTCCCATTTAACATTATCAATAACCCAGAATTTTTTCATCTTTCATTTGAGATTCCATTCATGCGATAGCAAAAAAAAATTTAGTTCGTAAAAGACTAGTCCCGGACTATACTTATCGAATTGATTTGCATACACACAAGCAATGTAAAAACATACACACACATTATTCCCATACATATATACATATACACTGTTGAAATCATAACTCTTCTTTTGGACTACTGTAGTCGGGTGAAATGAGCTTACTTATATAAACAGCCAATTCAGAAAAATCATCATTGCATTACATTCAACTGCTGTTTATGATCAGTATAAAGTAAAAGAAAATAATATTTTTATTTATCGTTAGCTTTGTCCAATATTTAGGTAGTAGTCTCTTTCTGGTCATGAGATTGGGGCGCTTTAGTTTTTGATTGTTATGTAAAGTAATTTTTAATATGTCTGTTTCCCACCGCAACATATTATTGCTCGAATAGCGATGTAGTTTAAGAAGTGCGGAAAAAACAAAAATGAAATGAGTAACATTATGTAAAATATCAAAAATGTACAGATAAAGACGTCTATTTTGGATCAAAAGATATACAAACTGTAAACAAAAATAAAATTTAAGTTAACTTGACAGTATACGAAAAGAATCAAAAATATATTTCAATTAAATGGCAAAAATAATATTTTATGACTATTGTCTGTATGATTTTTATTAGGTAGTAGTTGCTGGTTCATCATATGCAGGAAGTTTAGCAGCATGGGCAAGAATAAAATATCCTCACAAAATAGACATTGCTTATTCTTCTAGTGGTCCCTTACATGCCAAAGCTGATTTCCCAGGTAATGTAAAAGCAACATACAAATATTAGTACTTACACCTATAATTAAAATTGCTCCCTAAAAACTGGTCGAACAACAGAAAAATGAAATATCCGCTATAATTGTTTTTCTACTTTGGATGCATAGAATGTACGGTATTCCTTTAAATTATTTTTCTGAGAAACTATTGATGATCAAAATCTACACCTGTTTTTCTAACAATTACACCTGTTCAGTGCAGCAATTAAGCATTGAATTATTAGTACGAAATACGTATAGCGCTAATAAAAAAATATGAAAGAAATGGCTGTCCCCTCCGACGCTGACTTATAAATTTAATAGTGAAATTAAAATTTATATTAATAATGTTTTACGTTTCCATGTTAATTGTATTTTAAATAGAAGTAGGTAGGTATCTACCTATTTCAACTAAATTTCATTTCTGTGATTAAATAATATACAAAATACCAAACAATTCCCAACTTTCTGTAGAATATTTTGCTGCTGTAGAAGAAAATCTACGCCTTGCATCCCCCACTTGTCCGCAACTAATCAGAAGAGCCATGGCTGATGCAATACAATTGCTAGAAACTCAAGAGGGAGCTGCCACTTTATCGGAATTATTCAAGTGGGTACTCCTTTTATTCATATATAGTAACACAAAGAAAGTAAAGGGCGTAACAGAAATAGATGCGCGGAGCTTGCAGAAGGTGATAGGACACTGTAAAACAAGGAAATTAAGTAAAATTGTATGAGCGAATGTTCACCGTACAGTTAAATGTAATTCCGGCCCTGGTAAACAAACGTAACGCAACGCAACGCTGCATTCCATCAGTTGATAAATAGCAGCATCAATGTCGTATTTCTTATGAATTCTTTTGTTCATGGATTGTGTAATTGCGTTATTTGCTACATTAAGTGTGGTTCAAGGTCTAGTAGTTACTTATTATTTTAATCTTTAAACCATTTAATTAGTAAATCGATGTCCAAGTTAACAAACTTATTTAACAATACAACATCAATCATTAGAGTAGGTTAGTATGTCACTGTGGAATACATGTTTTTACGAAACAGCACATATATCAAATCCAAATGCACAATGCTAATGATATGTACGACTGTAGATGCTCGCTTCAAATGAAATACGCCAAGTGCTCGACGTTTTTGGAAATAATTTCAATAAATAGCTTGAAACCTGTCATTTCTAGCACGGGGTTCAAATTTGAAATAATTTTTGTGGTGCAAGTACGTGCATATGTATGTTTAGTAGAGTTGTTTGCCAGAATCAATAACTGTTTGACAAGTAGGTAGGCGGAAAGAAAGAAAGTTCACTTTACAAGTAAATAATTAACCTTTATCAAAAATGTATTGAACCTCAATAACATTTATTGTCGTTATTTCCTCATTAGCATCATTCTTCGAGGCTGTTCACATTACATCGTCACAAACTTCCCCATCAGGAGTTATTCACGTGATCGGACCTCCTAGAACCAATGTTCATCTTTCTTCAATTATCAATTTTTAATCAATTAACAATCCTAAAAACTTACCTAACTCCACCCCAAAAATAGTTTATTCCTTTCCATAATCAGAATTCATTTTAGAGCAGTTGCAATTTCATCTCCGGCATAAAAACAGTCTTTCAACATTTTCGGTATCTTTCACAATCAGTGTCAGTTTCCATCAAAATTTTTAGTTTCAGTTTTTTATTAAGTGCATTGGTTTATTTGTTTAAGTGTTGTGTTTTAAAATCGGTAATTTGGTATTAATAAATATTCCTAAAACATATCGAGCATTTATTTTTATCGAGACTTTTCGTGTCATTCAAGTGAGTGCATTTAGAAAAGTTTGTCAAACCAAGGCGACAACACTTACGTAATCTGCATTTTTATCTTTATCTTGAGTTCTTAAAACATCTTGAGAAGTAATTTATAATCACTGTGGAATAGTTGTTACGAAACAGCACATATATCAGATTCCAGTGCACAACGCTAATGACCGTACGGAGGCTCGCTGCAAATGAAATACGTCAAATGCTCCACGTTTTTGGGCGTAATTTACATAGTGCTACTTGCTATCAGCGATGAACAAATGTAGTAATTTAATTTATCTTTGTTGTAATATTATGTGTAGTAGTAATTTGTTTATTTCCAATGTCCAATAACTACTGTTTACATTCTCAATCGAACTAGATGCGGATATTTTATTTCATCTTGTAGTTTACACCTTCCAATGCTCCGCACTTATTTCTGTTACACCCTTTATAATAGAAAGGAAAATGTAAATAGTATTTTATAACTTGTATTTGTAGTACATGTGAGCCTCTAAAAGGTCCAGTAGAACCAGACAGATCTTATTTCCTTACCGGTCTTTCATCACCATTTGCGGATGTAGCTCAAACTGCGGGTCCTGGCGATTTGGTGGCCGAGTGTGAACGTCTGGAGAATAACACAGGGACTGACTTAGAAAAATTAGCTGAGTATATAAAACCACTACAATATTGCATATGGACTTACGATTTATTTAGAGATTATTATTCTGAAACATACGTCATAGGATCAATGAGAAGTAAGTAGGTTATTGATCTCCCCTCCCTGACTCACCTGAGTCAAATGAATCGTCATCAATTCACAAGATTTTCATAAATCGTTTTTTTTTTATACAGAGATGTAACTTAACTCAGAAAATATTATTTTACATTTTGTTACAAGGAACGTCACAACAATGATTCTTGAGGATAAAACGGGGGCATACTTTGTATTAACGAAACTTTTTAATAATTTTAATTATAAAACATACCATAAACTTTCTGAATAGGTTTTGGAACAAATATTGCTTGTAAAATGTGAAATAGTAGAAACTATCTTTACGCATATATTAATATAAAACTTTGTTCAGAGGTATATACAAAATAACGAGTTTTATGAAGAAGGTGCACCCATGTTCGTGTTTATAGGGGGTGAATGGGGCATTTCAATGAACTGGGCTAGGTCAGGTCATTTTTTTGACATAGCTCGTTCACATAATGGCGCTTTCTTCTACACAGAACACAGATTTTATGGCGACAGTTATCCAATATAGTAAGTAATATTTCCTTTGTTTAGGGAATTCTATCGCAAGGGGACTGGTTTTATATTCACATTAGAAAATTATGTCAACTGTTACAATTAATTATTTTTTTTATGTTGTGTGGCAATTTATAAATCAAAGCTGACAGTATTTACAGCTCTGGGCTGAGTAAAATAATTTATAACTCACTAGGAATAGTCAGCGTAAACTATGGAACGAATAAGACGAAAAAAGCAGACAACTAAAATGCTAATAAGTGTTCTAATTGAGAAATTAAATGGTCCGTGCATTTTTCAAAAATTCATGATTTGCTAACTTGAGATTAAGCTAACAGAAAATGAACAAATAATTTATTTAAACCATGAAAATAACTTCTTTAGTCATGCAGTAATTAAATGCTTATTAAGTCCTACTAAAGTGTTCTCATGAGAAGTGAAATGGCACATGCATCTTTTCAAAAGTTCCTGCTTTGCTAACTTGATATAAATCTAGCAGAGAATGAACAAATAATTTATTTAAAAGATGAAAATTACTTCTTTAGTCATGCAGNATTCGATTCTAATTTTTAGATTTACTTCTTCCACACTTCAAGCTGGAGTTAAACGAACAAATTTGTTTTACGGTAGCATAAACCCGAAAGTAACACGACTTATTACATGCCAGGGTACAGCGGACCCGTGGCACACGGTGGGATTACAGAACGATTTAAATGACCATGCAATTACAATTATTGTTAACGGCACTTCGCATTCTGCCGACTTGTACTCTGTTATGGATTCAGATCCCGTAGAGTTGAAACAGGCTAGAACCAGAATTATGGACACAATAAGTGCCTGGATATCTGAAATAGAAGGAGGCGTTAAATCAACAACAAAATAACTCCAATAACGACTACAACAATAAATCCATATCATGTCAATAATGATAATGATCAAATTCACGTATTCAATAATTTAATTCTAAAAAAATAAAGTTTCTTTTGAGGCATAAAATGATTTTATTTATACGAATGAAATAATTCGAAGTGGTCTGCATTCTGTCGAAACTGCCAGACGCGGATCGCGATTTCGGTCCTATTGTATCTCATCAGCGCGTCACAGACAGTTTCGACAGAACACAGACCAACTTTTACCTGCTGTCTTAACGGCGTGTTTTATAAAATACCACAAATGGCGCGGTAAACGCCACCTATAGTACAATGCTAAACTGTATAGATATCTTATTAAAGTCTATTATTATTATTATTGTTTTCCTGGCCTTCTGGGTTTTCACTGGTTAACTTTGAGGAAGTGAAGACGGGCTAATGCCTAAGAACCTCACTCACATTTTTTCGGATACGAAAGCAATTTCCTGTTCTTAAATTTTATAGAGCTAACAGTTTCTCTTGCCCTGAAATATGATCGGTGATTTTTACATACTCCGCTTCTAATTTATCCTATTGTGTTATCTGGAAAAAGGGATTTGTTAGTATTGTTAAGAAATCTGCGAACTATTCCATATGTATCAAAGATTACTGATTTCTGTGGACTTATATACGTAAGATTATGCAGTTTCAACTCGGCTAGGCTAACTTGTAATGTTGTAGATATAACGCCTATTGATGATATTATTATTGGAATAATTTGAACTGTGTTCTGATTCCACATTTCTTTTATTTCATCAGCCAAACGAATATATTTTTGAATATTCTCAATATGGTTTTATGTTTTTCAGTGTTTGGTACAGGAACATCTATTCGGTTTGTTGTTTTAGTTTCTTTGATGGTCAGTGTGATGTCAGGTCTGTCATGATTAACTGTTTTGTTTGTAATTATGTCTCTATCCCAATAAAGTTTGGCTAAGTGACGGACACACGAGTGATCATATAAGGAATCCGTTTTTCATTCGAACATATGGAACCCTAAAAATATGCGTAACTTTAGATCAACTTTAAATACCTTCAGGTATAATCAAATGATTCATTCCATCAAGCCTTACGTCCTGACTTATTGGACATAGAGCACACAACCGTTTGCAAGAAACGTTTCATACCAGGCTGCCATAGCTAGTAATTTTTCTTGCGTTATTGAATAAAAATAGATTGCTATTAAAGCAAATGAAAATTTATGAAAAACGATCAACACACGAATTCGTACAAGTTGAATTCGCATTCTTTTGGTCATCGCAAAATGTAAAAGCAAAACTTCTAAAAAAAAAATTCATAATATTCATAGCAGACTGACAAAATCAGGGTACACTTTGCCAGCCAAAATAGGCGTAAAAAAGGTTGGCAGCCAGGTTGCACTTGTCCTAGCTAGTATTATAATTGCGATTGTGAGTGTATTTGTTTGCCTGTCGTCTTTTCACGCCGTAACTACTCAACCGATCATGAAAATTTGTAGACACATTGCCAGGGGTACAGAAAAACACAGGATACATACGTTTTATCCAGGAAAAATATAGTTCCCGATTTCACGCCTTAACTATTCAATCGAACATCATCAAATTTTGTAGACACATTGTCAGAGGTACAGAAAACCACACAGAATATGTTTTATCCAGAAAAAATATTGTTCCCGACGGATAGAAAAAACATTAGTTTTATGTGATCGATTTCACGCCTTAACTACTCAACCGATTATCATGAAATTTTGTAGACCATTGTTAGAGGTACAGAGAAGACGTAGAGTATTTTTATCCAGAAAAAGTATTGTTCTCGATATCACGCCTTAACTACTCAATCGATCATCATTTAATTTAGTAGTTATATTGTCAGGAATACAGAAAAGCACATGGGATACATTTTATCCAGAAAAGATTTCGTTTAGTTTTTCCTCGAAGGGGGGAAATCTTCAAAAGTCACCCATTGAAAGGGGTTATTGTCGGATTCGCCGAAGCACTTACCAACTAAAACCCCTCCTCGAGTAGGGAGAACAAACCAGAGGTTATACATCCCAGGAAAGAGTGGGAAGAGGTTGGGAACGAGAAGGGGAATGGGTGTAAAAAGGAAGCATTGGGCGGAAATGGCAATCGATGGCCCAACTCGGATGAGTTGGGTGGGCACTCGCGCTAAAAAAGCGAAACTAGGAATGAGCGGAAGGGAAGCAGCTCAGAGTAGAAGGTGGTAGGACCTTCTGAAACGGTCGTTTGGTTCAGGGGCAGTCAGCAAGTGTCGAGATGGACGACTTTGGGTGACCTGACACTAAGTCCCGCAGACTAGCCGCGAACTTAACAGTAGCCTCAGGGAATGGAAGTAGACCAGATGCTTTCAGTATTTGGAAGTTTCTGATGAACCAGGGATACTTGAGTGCGGAATGTAGAATCCGCATGTAAGTGCCTTGAAGAATTTGTAGAGGGTGGGAATCGGCAGTGCCCCAAATGGGAATGGCGTAGGAGCATATGCTTCTGATAATTGTGTTGAACGCACGGATTTTACTTTGAAGGGAGATGGAGTTGTTTTGGAAGAAGGGCTTGAGGGAGATAAAGGCGGCTAGGGCCTTGGCACGGGTGACAACGATGTGCTTTCGCCATGTCAGTGTTCTATCGAAAACGTCACCGGTGTAAGTAACGGAGTTGCTCCATTTCATGCGGTGGTTGTTAACGGTAATGGCGGGAGGTTTTCGGGTCCTACGGGACTTCCGGGGCAGGGCTAGAAACTGTTTAATTTTTGCGGAGCACTGGAAAATGACTTGGGTGGAGTTTATAAGGGCGTTGTCATCGGCGTAGAGAGCTGTGACGATTGAGAGGTGGGACTGCATGTCTGCGCAAAAAAGGTTGAACAGAAGAGGTGACAGTTTTGAGCCTTGGGGGCACCAGCCGTTACGGGTTTGCTTGGGGATAAAGTAGACCCAACACGAACACGGTAGATTCTGTAAGAGAGGAAGGAACGGCTAACCCCGATTAAGAAATGAGGGGTGTTGTGGGCGATAAGTTTGGTGATGACACCTTCGTGCCAAACTCGATCGAACGCTTGCTGGATGTCAAGCAGAAAAATGGAAGTGTGACGACGCTTATTTAGGTTGTCAGAGATGTGTTCGGAAACACGGAGAAGTTAGTGGGCGGTGCCGTGTTGTCTACGAAAACCGTGTTGAAAGTCGGGGAGTTGGTTGGTTCGCTCCACGTGGTCAAGAAGCTGGTCCAAAAATATGGATTCAACTACTTTGCTCAGCGAACTGAGCAGGCTAATAGGCTTGTAGCTTAAGGGAGAGCTGAGGGACTTCCCTTTTTTGGGGAGACAGACGACGGTGGCTTCTTTCCAGATCGGAGGGAAATGGTGGAGCCGCATGATAGCGTTTGTGATCTTACAGAGTGCGGTTATGTGTTTTGATGGTAGAACTTTTAAGAGACCTTTGGGAATACCGTTCGAGTCCGGGGATTTTCTCTTTTTCAGAGATCGGATGGTGAGGAAGATTTCATGGGGGGATGCGTGTTTAAAGTCGGAAACAGTTGGGATGAAGTTTTGGGAGGCGACGTTGGTTCGCTCTTGAAAGTGGGCCGAGTCGACAAGACTGGGAAGCAGGGAGCACTAAAGACAGAGACAATCTGCGAAGATTGCAGCATTTTTCTCATCTGAAGTGAATACGGAGCCGTTTTGTTTTAGCGGGGGGAGGTGTGGGGCTCTATTTCGAAGAGAGCGGATCACATTCCAAATTTTTTTGGGATGTGTTTCAGCCTGCGCGATATAATTGTCCTAGGTGGGCGAAATTCGATTAAGCGAGTTTTAAGTTTTCTCTGTAGGTCGTTTAGTTCGGTGCGGTGTGCCGGATCACGGTGTTTTTGCCACAGACGGGTTTTGTTTTTCCTCATGCCGATAGCAAGAATGTCTGCGGGGAGGTCTTTTTCTCTGGGGTGGAGGGGCGGGAGATCGTGAAGAGCTCGATGGCGCTGGTAATCTCGTTCGATAGGAGATTGACAGCTTTGTCGAGTTCGCTTTTGTGCGAATTGAAGTGCATTTGAAGGAGGATGTTTCGAGAGTGTAGCGCAGACGTAGCCAGTCTAGCGAAGTATATGGTTTGGGGGTTGAGGGTTGGACGGCCGACTTCTATTAGGGCTAGGAGATGGTAGGAGCTTAAATAGTCGAGAACGGTGGGATCGGCAGAAAGAGTGACATCCTTTACGACGAAGATGTCAAGAATCTCAGGAAGTTGATTGTGGGGGGGCGGGGAGATATGTAGGATCTGTAGACGCTTCAACAACAAGGCTGAGGTAGAGAATTTTGGCATGAAGGAAAATGCCTATTTTGTTAGTGTGTCGGCAGACCTACGAAGGGTGTGTGAAAAAATTACTAATGAGGATGGCTACGCCACCGCCTCGGGTGTTTTCACTGTCCCTTCTAAAGGATGTAAAGTTTGGCTTTCTGCGATATGTGAGTTTCGGTGATGCAGGCAACACCGATTTACTGTTACTCGAGGAAGTGTTCGAGTTCAGTCAATTTACCTCTATTGCTTTGAGCATTCCAGTTAATTACTCGAAGATTATTTGCGTTAGCGTTTTTATCCAAGAGTGGGTGTTTGGAGTGTGGCAACTATGCTGGCTACAATCGTTTACACGATGACCTGGAGTTTCTGTTCCAGGGTTGGTGAAGCAACTGACGCTGAAGGGAGGCTCTGGGTTGCGTTGGACTTTCGGGTGGGAGTGGGGGGGGCTGGTCTCACTGCGCTGGCGTACGAATTTTGGGGGAGCATCGTTACGGGGGTGGTTAATGTACGGATGATTGTCTGGACGCTTTTTGGAGCAGTCGTAGTTGGGGTGTTTTTTTTGGGTGTTACGGTTTTCTAAGGAACCCTGGGACAATCACGACAGGTGGCGCGGTGGTTCTCTTTGCAGTTAGTACAGGTGCAGGTTGCGTCTTTCCTGTTTTTTGTCTTGCATTCGCCGGTGACGCGGTTGCGGCCGCAGAAGGCGCATACCCAGGCAGCGTGGCAGTAATTGACCGTATGAAAATATTTCATACAACGGCGATATTGGGCAACATCTTTGATGGCTCTTTTCGAATCAACTTTAAAATTGAGACCTCAGAGCTTGCCAAGTTCAAAGATTGACTTGGACTTAGGAGCAGACTTGTTGAGACGAACGGATACTAGTTGCCAAATTTTTTCATCATTTGACATTCGGTGAACACCCCGGATAGCGAAGTCTTTACTAACAAGTTCAGAGTGTATATCATCCGTGGAGATGCCTTCGCAGACTCCACGTAGGACGACATGAAGATCTCTGTCTTGTTGAAGTTGGTTGGTTGAGAACTCAACCTTGGATTCGTCGAAGTACGACGATAGGCGACGAAAATCGTCCACGTAGTTGGGGTAGACTCTGATCGAGTCTTGGGTGTTAATGACCCGACGGGCGGTGATATCGTGGTTCTCCATGACTCTAGGAATTTTCGGCCAAAGGGACGTTTGGCGTATAACAATGAGTGGAGAAGCTTTAGAGCCCTGGCTCGGTTGCTCCGTTTCCGACTCAGAGTCAGTGGACATTGACGAAGACGATGATAGGAAAGGTGTTCGTCTCCAGCGTTTGTTGCGACACTTGCCGGCTTCAGTGAAGTGAAGTGAATAAACGATGGTCCTGGTTCGTAGTGAACCTGGGAAGGAGCGGATGATTTTCGATTTTCGATTTTTACTAATGAACTTGATGCATGAGACGGGTCTCCGCGACGACTCCAGAGGGTTATAACTGGTGACCAATCATGGGTTTTTGGTTATGACGTGGCAACCAAAGCTCAGTCATCCTAATAGAAGCTGCCGCACGAACCAAGACTGGAAGAAGCGCGTGAAGTTAGGTAGAAATGTGAAGGTTTTGCTTACAGTTTTCTTCGATTGCAGGAGCGTGCTACATCATGAGTTCACTGGGCCACAGGGTAGAACGGTCAATAAAGAATATTACCTGCGGATAAAGACGGCTTCGAAGGAGGAGCTGAACAAAAAAATATTTTTTGAAGTGCTTCGAGGATTGGAAAAAACATTTGCACAAGTGTATAATATCTGATGGGGTTACTTTGAATGGAACAAAATAGATATTCATGAGTAAATAAATAATTTTTGAAAAGACACAAAATTCGCGATACTTTTTGAACAGACCTCGAACACCCCTATCGATTATTTCCAATACTTCAAGAAAAATCCAGAAAGATCTAAATCTGCTTCGAATGTTCCTATAATGTTATGGCTTATGTGTGTATGTGAAAACCTTATCGAAACCTGTCTGATACGACAGACTTGATTGATTTACGTCGCTGCCGACAAGGACTTAGAAGCGTTGATTTGCGATAAACGAGAAGGCACCATAAATGATCATATGAAAATTAACACAAGTACAAGGAAATAACTAAATATTTGAAGTTCCGAATTGCAATTACTACGTCCGGTTCCAGTATGCAATCTCTTCAGGTAGTTTGGCCGTTATCTACGCTCTGCTACGCGACGCGGCAATTTCAAGGTCAATCGAACGATTACATTACCTAACGAGAGGATTTTCGTGCAGATGATGAATAAATCCAAATTCCTATAATCAGAACGAAAATAAAATATTACATTTTTGTGGTATGTATTCCGTAAGGCGGCTCATACGGTACGTAGCTTGTGACGGGCTTTTGACTGTATCCTTCTGTAATTCCCTGACCGTTGTACCGTATCATGGCACCGAAGAAACGGCGCTTTAACTTTCATGGAAAAGCATGCTCTACCTAGGAAATCTGCCACGTACTATTTATGTATTATGATTTGTATTTGTGCTAAAAATTGTTACACCACTAATTCTGTGTATTTTGTTCCATTTTATCCACATTAATGAAGCTTTACTGTACTGTATTGTTTCAGTTACGAACATTTTTGAATTGTGTAATTTGAATTGTGTAATTTTTTTATTCGACACTATGTTGTTTGAAATGATCTAATAAAAATGAATCAATTACAGTTTTTCTCACACACGAGTAAACATTTGCTTAGAAGTACTTCAGATAGATATTTAATTATTTAAATTAGGTCTTCTTGAAAATAATATTTTTCTCTTAATGCACCGATAACTGAACTTTTTTATCAATCAATATCCTTATGTATCAATCAATATCATAGCTTAGTTTAGATATTTATTTATCTATAAAATCAAAATTTTTTGAAATGTAGATCACTTAGTGNGTAGTACTCCCTCTAGCATAAGTTACATTGTTCTTCTTAAATCTAAACCTAGCGGCATGGCCTAGAGATTCAGACCATTCCCTAGCATTAAGCAGGACGCCGATTCGATTCCAGGTCCGTCTGCCTTGGTCCTAGCTTTTCTATGGTTTCCTTGGATCACTTAGCCAAATGCTGGGGCAGTAATATTCCACAGATAATCTTTCATTCTCTTCTGTCTTCATTTCGTCCGTCTCATCTTTCTCACCCGAACCACCATCCACCCATTCCAAAGATTCCTGAATGGACGCTAAAGAGGGCCTACGGCCCTACCTTCCGGTCCGAAAGGACTGCCCGCCCATCAGCATAAGTGCATTTTTCTGGAAAACAATTGAAATTATCAAGTTGGAACAAGTATAACAATTCTACGTAAAAATGAAAAATTTAAAAAAATGTGTCGTTGCGAGACGCCTGGCAGATGAAACATCCGAATTATTTTGTGTAGAAAACATGCATGAATCGATGGTTTATTATAGTTGACTTGAATTACTGGATCGTGTGTCATAGCTTCCTTTGCAATAGACTGCTCACTTTCGTGATGTAAATTATCATTGTCATCCATATTCTATTGAACACTACGCTGTGCCTTTTTCCACAACAACACCTTAGTAAGACATCTTTAATCTCTCTCTCGCTCTATCTTTTAATAGTCATGGCTCATCCTGTGTACGGTTCAACAATAATATAATTCCCTTTAAATATTTGTTAAAAGACAAATTACTTATTCACCATTTATTTCAGCGCGTCAATGGTTGTATCAAACATGTACTGAATTTGGTTGGTATCAAACACAAGCTTTTGGCGACACATTTAAAGTGGATCTGTTTTATCAACTGTGCAGCGACGTTCTAGGAGAACAGTAAGTAAAACCTTCACTCATTGTAGCGATTTATTACTCTCTACAATTAGTGTTCTTTTACCACATTTTTTACCTAATTTGACATACAAATAAAAATTCGATTCTAATTTTTAGATTTACTTCTTCCACACTTCAAGCTGGAGTTAAACGAACAAATTTGTTTTACGGTAGCATAAACCCGAAAGTAACACGACTTATTACATGCCAGGGTACAGCGGACCCGTGGCACACGGTGGGATTACAGAACGATTTAAATGACCATGCAATTACAATTATTGTTAACGGCACTTCGCATTCTGCCGACTTGTACTCTGTTATGGATTCAGATCCCGTAGAGTTGAAACAGGCTAGAACCAGAATTATGGACACAATAAGTGCCTGGATATCTGAAATAGAAGGAGGCGTTAAATCAACAACAAAATAACTCCAATAACGACTACAACAATAAATCCATATCATGTCAATAATGATAATGATCAAATTCACGTATTCAATAATTTAATTCTAAAAAAATAAAGTTTCTTTTGAGGCATAAAATGATTTTATTTATACGAATGAAATAATTCGAAGTGGTCTGCATTCTGTCGAAACTGCCAGACGCGGATCGCGATTTCGGTCCTATTGTATCTCATCAGCGCGTCACAGACAGTTTCGACAGAACACAGACCAACTTTTACCTGCTGTCTTAACGGCGTGTTTTATAAAATACCACAAATGGCGCGGTAAACGCCACCTATAGTACAATGCTAAACTGTATAGATATCTTATTAAAGTCTATTATTATTATTATTGTTTTCCTGGCCTTCTGGGTTTTCACTGGTTAACTTTGAGGAAGTGAAGACGGGCTAATGCCTAAGAACCTCACTCACATTTTTTCGGATACGAAAGCAATTTCCTGTTCTTAAATTTTATAGAGCTAACAGTTTCTCTTGCCCTGAAATATGATCGGTGATTTTTACATACTCCGCTTCTAATTTATCCTATTGTGTTATCTGGAAAAAGGGATTTGTTAGTATTGTTAAGAAATCTGCGAACTATTCCATATGTATCAAAGATTACTGATTTCTGTGGACTTATATACGTAAGATTATGCAGTTTCAACTCGGCTAGGCTAACTTGTAATGTTGTAGATATAACGCCTATTGATGATATTATTATTGGAATAATTTGAACTGTGTTCTGATTCCACATTTCTTTTATTTCATCAGCCAAAGGAATATATTTTTGAATTTTCTCAATATGTTT